CACGAGGAACAGGGATGCCACTCCACTTGAATCAATTTAATAAAGGTCTACAGCTAGTAGGTGAAGTGGTGGTCATATATTGCATTCATAGCAATAATGAAATCGTATTTTAGAAATACTGTACTAACACATAATTTAAACTAAATAAAGTACGAGCATACCCGTGGCGTATCATACGCCGCTATTTAGTTGTTTTATTTTCTACTTTTCAGTAATTCATAATTTGTGAATTCGACAGTAACAATGCTGCCACTGAAAATATTTGCTTTAAAACACTATCAGTAAGTCGTTAAGTACGATAACCCCCACCCCACCCTCATTTCCCCCAACCCCTACCCTACATCGTCCCCCCCCCCCCCCGTGAAAGCAGCCTCCTCTTAGTTACCTCCCGTAAGTTTAAAATCGTTTCAAACTAAATTATCTGCCCCTAATAGCCGTCACTAAACCCGGCTCTACGATTGTAAACATTTAGCATGAACCACAGCTCACCAGACCATGTGGGGGTGGGGTGGTAGGCGCGCTTACAATATACAAAATGACGGTGAGTATTGGTAGATGAGCACTGGACGGCTCAATGGAAACCGTGCAACTAGATGGCAATCACTAATTTGTAGAAGGTAAATTTAGCTCTTGAAACACATTAAGGAAAGGAAATATAGCTGGTAATAAAATTGACTCAAATATCACCTGTTATGTCGAGATTACAAAGCAGTTTAACTCTACTTTATCTGCCACATTTTTAGTGAGGTACAAGATGATAACTTCGATTTTCAACTTTATAAAAAAATGTTTATCGTGAATGACGTTAAAGTTATCTCTGAAATTACGCTATTTATTACAAGCTTTTTTTAAAAATGCTTACTGGGTCTGTCTGTCTTACTTTGTACGGCATTGGTCAAAATTGCCGAGCGCAATTTCGACTATTTTCAACCTTAACCTATTTTTCTCTGAAATTTTTAATTTTAATTAAAATTCATGTATAAGAGGGGGGGGGGAGGGCGTTTGAAACTTTCGGGGTAGTGTGTCATTTACATTTTTTGAGGTGGGATCGGAATCTTGTTATTCTGGATTATATGTTGTTTTTTTTTTGTATTTTGTTCGCGTTGGGGGTGGGGGGTGGGGAGAATAAACTGGTTCAGTTTATTTTTAATATGCTACGGGGAGTGGGGATAGACTTACTTTGTACGGGATCTGCCCACTTCCACCCCCCTCCCCCACCCCTAAAAGACGACTGAGGGAAACTCAAACGGACAAAGACTTTTGTTTTTGTTAAGAGGACGTGATAGTTTCTTTTTAACTTCCCTTTCTCGCTCTTCACTCATTTAACTTAAAGTGTCTAGACATGTCCTTGTGTATTCAGTGTAAGTATACGCCCAGGGTTTGCCTGCTTAGGCCTGTCGAGATAAGAAGTTTAATAGAGCTGCAATTGTTTGCCGTCTTTAAGATGAAATTATTTAGAACAAAATAATATGTCCCGGTGTCGAATTTCAAATATCAACCCCCCAAAAATGACATATGTCCCCGGGCGCCGACCTTAGGGGGGGGGGGCGCTAAAATGAGTTTGAAAAACAAATTGAAAGTTTGAGGGGGGTGTGCATATCAATAGTTCGAAGGCGGGGCGCCATAGTGATCGCAAGGGAACCCGGGGCGCATCGTGTCGTATAAGCTACGGCGGTTGCGACTGTTGAAGTTTTAACTCTGAATATAATAGTACCCCTTACACGCTATTCATGACGCACGATTTACGGATTCCAAGTGCTAACATAGCCGCTCTGGAGCTCTGGGCGTATGGACGAAAAGTGCACCTCCCGGGCGCCGCTCATATCAAATTTTAATTATTTTATTAATAGAACCTTTCCGGGAGTATTCTCACCAACTCATTAAAGTTTTATAGAAATCGAATGAAAGGTGTCGAACCGCATCTGACTTTTAATTTTTTTTTAAATATACCGTATATAGAGAAGAATCACACCCGCTCGTGGCGCCGCCCTTGCGAAATTAGAAGGTTTTTTTTGGCAATACCCTCTCTGCAGTGTCAATTCCCCAAAGTTTCATGGCAATCGGATGAATAGTTTCAAATCGCAATCGATTTTTATTTTTTATATACCGAATACAGAGAAAAAAATGCAACTTGCTGGGGCACCACCGCTGCGAAATTGTTTTTTTTTTCGCAGTAACCTCCCTTGGTGTGTTCTCTTCAGCTCCCAAAAGTTTCATGGTACTCGGATGTACATTGTCGAGCCACATTTGACTTTTGATTTTTTATATACCATATACAAAGAAATATTGTACCCTCTCGGGGCGCCGCCCTTGCGAAATTAAAATATATGTTTGCAGAAACCTCCCCTGGAATGTTTTAATCAATTCCTCAAAGTTTCATGGCGATCGGATGAACGGTGTCAAACCGCAATCGTCTTTTATTGTTTTATATACCGTATATACAGAAAAAACAAATCACACACTGCCGGGGCGCCACCCTTGTGAATTTAATTTCACAACAAAATTCCAAAGTTTCATTGCGATCGGATGAAAGGTGTAGTAATGCATAAATGACAGACAAACAAATAAACAAACATACAGACAGACACACACATACATTGCTTTATATATGTGTAAATAAGCAGCCAGGTAGTATATCAGTTCTCTCCTCCTTCCTTCATTGGAATAACCACATTGTATTAGTTTTAAACCTGTTGTGCCATTTTATAAGGAAACACAAAACACATCTCGGCCACCGCATATGTATCAGGCACTTCGCTGAGGCTCTAGGGAGCCACAGGTCAGACTACAGCAAGGGTGCCGTGTAATCGAATGTAGTGGCATATCGTGTTAGCTCCATGATATTTGGCTGCTTTCGCGCCTGCACATGCATTTAGTTCGATTTTGCCAACGCTGATAGTAGCCAAACGTATTCAAAGTGCTAGGATGTCTTAAAACGAACGTTGTCGGTATAGTGCTCAATCACACACAAACCAGGGAGTAATGGAACGTTATTTCTGTGTGTTTAAAATGCCATTGACTCTATTTATTAAAAAATAATCTTTTTTCCCTTAATCTTACAAGCTCACAGTGAAAAGATGTAAATTCCTCATCAAATTGTATTAGTTATTATTGGAAAGCTGGATTTCTTATGTATTTCATATCGTATTTTCCGTAACTTCGGAAAAAGACAAAGCTTACAATTGCTTTAAATATTACACAAATATGATATTTCGTGACCTACTTTTTGGTACTTTATGCTGTTTTTCTTAGTTCGCTGTTTTTTCCACTAAAATGTTTACTGATTTTTACTTTCTCGCATACAGCGTATAGAGGAAGTATTGTAATCGTTCACACAAATAACATAAATTTTGACAGTTTTTATCGTTGTACACCTCAGTTCATCATATAGGGCACTTATTTTAATCAGGCAATAATTATAAATGCAGATTTATAAAAATGTTGCCGTTCTATATAATCGAGTCGTGAAAACTGGGCTTTGCAATTCAGTCCGTATGTCTGTATGTGTATGTGTGTAACTGTGTATGTCTGTAAACACGATAACTTGAGTACTTACTGTTACAGCTAGGTTGATGAAATATATATTTATGTATTATATCAAATTTTTTGTTCAAATTTTCAGCGATTTCCGGAAACCGGAAGTGGAGCTTATTCTACTTTCAATGTTTCAAAAGTTATACGAATTAAATTTCACATAGAAGTAAAGGATCTAATTCTCTACATTCTCTAAAATTATATGTCATTTCCGTTGATCGTAAGTAATAATTTACGCTATTTCCGATTTTTTTAAACGCATATGAATGCATAAAGTAGTAATAATCGTTCGCACTATTATACACATATTGTTTGACATTCACTTGGTGCGCAATTTATTTTTCTACGTCTACGAAATTCTATTCTATTTTAAAAAGTTTAAGCAATTCAAAATGAATTAAAAATCATGTCTATATCCCCAGTTCCCATCTCCCAAGTGTTATATAAGAATATTCGAGAAAGTTTAGGGGAGATCACTAATTTGTTTTGTAGAGGAGATAGACTTGCTTCGTACGAGGGTTCACTCGAAGAGACACTATTGTTAAACGTATTGTTTACACTTCCTTGTCTCGCTCTTCACTGCTATAACTTGAAATGTCCTGATGGAGACTTCTGTTATGTTTGTACGTACACTACCACGGCGTGTCTGAATCGGCTTCCGGGGACTAGCAGTTAAACAGGGCTTTAGTTGTTGCCCGTCTTTTAAGATGAAATAAAATATAATAAATTATAAATGTCACATTGTAATATTTCACAACTGTACCACATTATAATTATGATTTAATGTATTTCAGGATATTTTAAAATTCAGCATTGATGTCTATGTAATATTCTTTAACCATTTAAAATAGCTGCTACAATAGTCGTTGTAGATCTTGTGCGTTTCATTTGTTCTTGTAGAATCGACTAGCTTTTATCTTACGACTGCTGATTATAAAATAAGCCGCAGGTTCGTATGCCTGTCTTTTTTTTTCTTGCGTCATCGATATAGCCACTTTATATTCGCTTTTGTGGGTGTAAGATGAGGATGTGGTCGTATGGTGGGATGACTTTTTCTGGGCATGGACACCCGTGGGGAATTATGTTTGGCGGGCGTTCACGTTGAAACTGGGGGAATGGGAAATGGGAAAATGGAAATCTGGACAAATATTCATGAGAGCATTGTGCCATTTTATAGGGAAATACACAACACACCTCGGCTACAATCCATGTATAAGGAACGTCGCTGGGTGTTATAGGGAGCCACAGGCTAGTCTATTGCAAGGGAGCCGTGTCATCAAACGTAGTGTCCCATCGTGTCAATATTGTAGTGTGCTCTTGAACCCTATCTAAACACTAAAAGTGTTTACATGGTCCCACAGTGTGCTTCTCATCACTCGACCGCCGTTGCGCCGGCTAACGCCTATGTTTCGATTTTGCCAACTATTATAGTATCGATCCGTATTTAATGTGCATGGTTTAATGAGGATGAGAAGGAGGATGAGGATGAGGAGGAGAAGGAACAAGAGGAGGATGAGGAGAAGGATGAGGAGGATGCGGATGATGATGATGATAATGAGGATGATGAGGATTAATATGAGTATGATTTTTAATTTTTGAAGTTATCCTTTTAGCTTGATCTCTAAGTGTTTTTAAATGTATGTATGTAATAAATATCTTAAAACCAACAATGATAATGGATTATAATATATCAAACTTCTTTTCTTATTTAATTTTAGTATTGGAAGGGTTCACTTCCAACAAATTTAAGTATATGTGTCAATTTGTTATGCGCCATTTGACTCAGATTGCATAGACTTTGATCAACCAAAAAATAAACTACAAGGCAGAATTAGTTTGATTTTGAAGTCTCTTATAGAACATTGGCTGTCCCCAGCTAGCGAGCCTTATCTGCACGAACGTTTGAACTCGAACCATGAGCTTTACCGGCTCGGTCACCCCGACCCCTTCCAAAGAGAAGCATTTCTACTGCTTCACGTGTGATGAAGACATTAAAGAAGATGTGATACAATGTTTAATTTCTAGTGAGTGGTTGCTCATTGACTCATAATTGTTCACATGATGATATAGTAAACTTTGAAGATTGATTAACGTTATGTAAATGTGGAATAAATTGATTATTGTTTGATTGAATGTGTCAATTTATAGAGCAAAGAAAATTCGTTTTACAGTTTGATACCTATTCGACTAACCAGTAGTACAACTTCAACTCATGTAAGGGTAACTAGTGCCGTTTTATTATTTTTTCCATTTTTACTTTCTCGTATATACGAAGTATAAAGAAAGTCTTGTAATCGTACACAAAACAAATCTAGATTTTTGCAAATCTCGACGTTTTACACCTCCCTGAGTCGGAAAAACATAGTCTTGCAATCTTGTCCGTATGTCTGTGTGTGTGTGTGTCTGTCTGTGTGTGTGTGTCTGTAACCACGATAAGTTCAGTAGCGTTACAGCTATTTTGAGGAAATTTCATATATAAGTATTATATAAAAATCGTAGATCCGTATCAACTTTTGAGCGATTTCCGATAAACGGAAGTGGAATTTTTTTCTAATTTCAATTTTTCAAAAGCCTATAACCTGAATACTGTTCTATATAGATAACTGAAATTTGACATATAAGTAAAAGATCTAATTCTCTGCCTATCGTCAAAGTTTGAGTAATTTCCAATGAACGGAAGTAGTAATTTTCGCTAGTGCGGATTTCTTAAAAAACGCATGTGAATTTATAAAGTACTAATAATATTTCGCACCATTTGTCACATTTTATTAGGCGTTCACTTGGTGTGCAATTCTTTTTTCTACGAGATTTCAGTCTATTTTGAAAAAGTTTAAGCATTTAAAATGGATTAAAATCATGTCTATATTCCAAGTTTCCATGCCTTATTGATTCATATTAAAATATTCGAAAAAGTAGGGGAGATCACTCTCGGTTTATTTCTTTTACTTTCAATAATTACATGTTGAAATCATGCTTTTGTTCTGTTTCGTATTCAATAACAGGTGCGGTGTCGTATAAATAATCAGCTTCCGACTGGAAGTTTTTTTTAATAATTTTTTTTTTCGGGGGTACAAATTTCCAATTTTACATCTTTATACACATTTCCCATTTTCCCCATTTATACAAACTACACATATGCATTATACTGTGTTCTCATTTGTAAGTTTACAGTACTTGAAGACTATGTAGGTCCCTCCTTGAATGGTCCATGTACAATAGGTTGTAGAAGAACACGAGGGATAATATGGGCTGGTAAACGTTCCTGATGTGACATTCACTGTACTATTGCAGTCTATAAAATCAATTTTCTTTAAAAAAATAAGTTCTGTAGCAATCATATTAAAACAAAAATATATTACCGTAGAAAAGTAATGGAAAATATTATATACGTTGTTTAAAAACAAATTTTAAAAAATGTTTTCCACGAATTTTATTACTGACCATATTCAAAAACTAATAATTCTGTCTAGTACGACATGTTCAAGTACAATTTAACTCCTCTTCTCTATCATACACTTATTTACACTTTGATGTATGAAACGAGCACTGAGTATTAATTAATTGGGTACTAAGTATGAATGAAACGATTCAATCAACCGTAATGTATTAATAACAGGTGTTCTCTATTTAACCCCTTTACCATGTGACACGAGTTAACTCGTCATCAGATAAAAAAAGTTTTCTGTGTGCCGTGCGTCCCGAGTTAACTGGTCTTAATACGAAAAACAGCATTAGAAATCAATAACAATGTAAAAAGAGGCTGTTTAACAGCTGATTATAACAATAGGTCATCACGTGATATTAAAAGTGAAAGTGAGAAGGAGAAGACCCCCCTCAAACTTTCGATTTGCACCCCCCCCCCTCTCAAACTATCAATTTGTTTTTCCAACATCTGTCCCCCCCCCCCTCCTCTCTACGCCTCAGGTTGCAGGATGGGGCTTTGTTGCTGACTTTTAGATCACGAGAACGTCGAGGGTTAAGTGAGAAAAATAATTATTTTAAGTGTTGTACGTGTTTTCATATTTTTTTTTATATAGAATAAATTACACAATAATGAACCGATACTTTTTTCTATAGACAATCGGAACAGGTACGTGGGATCTTAAACGTTCATGAATAAAATGAATTTTGATATAACAATCACAGCGTTTAATATTAATAATTTGAATAAATAGACAAAAAAGCTTATTTAGCCTTTAATAGTTATGTATTTATGATTACAAATATGATTATAATACAAAATACTATTATAAATTTATAAATTTATATATATATATATATATATATATATATATATATATATATATATATATATATATATATATATATATATATATATATATATATATAGGCTATATATATAATATAGCATCCTTAAAAGTTGAATTACATTAATGCAATTGATTGTATTTCATTTAAAATATTATGGAAGTATGACATGAAGATGTAGTTTATTATATTACAATTTATTAAAGAAACTTTAATGAATATAAATAGAAAACATAAATTTAGACTTCAAAATGACAAATATACGATTTTGAAATGAACAAAATAAATGCAAGGAAGAAATAGCGATGCATAAAAAGCGGAATAAAAGCGTATAGTAATAACGTAAAGTACAAGTAAAGTTCCCTTTTCGCAACTGAGGGTCCATAGTGAAAGTGAAGTAGAGTTCACCTTTTTCAGTGACCCTGCTCTTTGAAGGGATATTATGGTTAGCACTAATCCTAGCCGCTTTTTTCCCCTAACGTGATTCAGGTACCTATCAGAGGGTGCTCGACTCACAGAAAATTTACAGATTGCAACCCGGGTTCAAACTCGAGACTATCGTGTTAGCAATAAGGTCGAAATTACATATCTGAAAACATGTTTCGTGCTAATTTTGGCGGAAATATATTAATTTACAATGCAGCAAATACATTAGTCTTCTAGAATCTCTTAGCATAATGTTTGAAGGGTCGAAGATGGCACTCAGAGAATTTACAATTCATTTTCAGCGAAAACCCACCTTTACTGAAGTTGATGCTATCATCGACAAAGCAAAGTACATAAACAATATATACAATTTTCTGGGTCCTCTTAATTGTTCTTATCAAACACCATTGTTAAAAATAACACAAGCATAATTTATAACAAACTTTAGAGGGAAAATCCACAGTCAATCAACGTCTTTTTGCTGACCTAACCCTTGCTAATGTTTAATCTTATTATCTATGCTTTTAGTATTGAATTAGTCGTAGGTACTCGTTACACTTGAATTATAGGCCTATATTTTTAAATGCTGTGTTTGTTTTAAGAAAAATATCGAGACTTTCACAAATCTTTATGTTTTACACCTCCCTGATTCGGAAATAATCTTAGTTTGTCATATGTGTCAGTATCTTTCTCTCTCTCTCTCTCTCTCTCTCTCTCTCTCTCTCTCTCTCTCTCTCTCTCTCTCAGTTTGTGTGCGTATGTGTATCAGTCTGTCTGTGTGTTTGTTTGTGAACACAACAACACGAGTACCGTTACAGCTAGGTTGACGAAACTTCATATATAAATATTATATCAAATGTATAGTTCTGTATCACTTTTTCCAATAACCGGAAGTTAAAATTATTCTACAACTTGAGTACTGTTTCTGATAGCAGAAATTTCACATATAAGTAAACGATTTAATTCTGTTCTCTGCTGAACTGTTAGTAATTTCTGTAGACCTTAAGAAGTACTCTAAAAGATTTCCAATTTCTCATAAATACGCATATGAATTTATTTTTAACTTTATTCATCTGTAGATCGTCCCTAATGTTCGCACAATTGCGAACAAAACTTCGAATACTTCTACCGGATAGAGTTATTTTAAACTTTTCACGTATGTTAAGACTCTGACTCAATGTATTGTGGCGAAAATGTTACTTAATTTAATTAACCCTAAACTCTTTGAAAATTAATTAATAAATTTTTTCTATATCAAGTGCTCATGTTCCGCATTATTAAAAACTTATTGTTTCCTGTTCATTATGTGTGAGATTATTGTTTCTGTTATATATTATATCCTTTTTTTATTAAATAATTAAAAATTGATTTAAAATCATGTCTATACCCCGAGTTGCCATCCTCCGTTGTGTAATGAAAGTATAATCGAGATAGTTTAGAGGAGAACTCTCCCGCTATAATAGACATTTTTTCATGCATACTTCTTCCCAAAAGCAACAGCTGAAATAATTCTGACATGGCGGCTATATATTATTTTTGTCTAAAGGTTAACAGCTATTAACATATGAATTTTTAAACACCCTGAAATGTGTTAAATTTTAATATTTTTTTATCTGTGGTATCTAGCTTTAATTGCTGTATTTTGCTAATAGTAACATTTAAAAATAATTTAAAACACGAAGTAAATGCTTTATCGATATTACCTGAATTGCAAATTTATATTTTAAAATGAAAAAAAAGTAAAGTTGTAAAGCGAGTATTTTAAAATTAAAACAAAAGTATTGATTTTAAAATCATGAAACATAACTTTACACACACGAAGAGTTACTGCGCAGCGCCATCAAATACCACATAATTATCTTCCCCTCCTTGCCCTTTC